CAAGCTCTTCACTGTCAACACTTCACACGCCACTGCCGCCTACTACGGACACCAGAACAAGATCAGCTACATCCACGAGGTCCTCCATGACAAGAAGCTTCACGACATTGTTCGCGACGCTGTTAGGGAGACTGCTCACTTGATCATCAACAAGCACGGCGTCAGCGCCTCGGAGCAAGATGACTATGTTGAGAAGATCATCAAGCGCATCTCCAACCCCGTCCTCAAGGATAACGTAGAGCGTGTCGGCCGTGCTCCTCTGCGCAAGCTCTCCCGCAAGGAGCGATTCATCGGCCCCGCTGCTCAGCTGGCCGAGAGGGGTGACAAGGTTGATGCTCTGCTTGGCGCCGTCGAACAGGCCTACCGCTTCCAGAACGTCGAGGGCGACGAGGAGTCTGCCGAGCTGGCCAAGATTCTCAAGGAGCACTCGGCCGAGGAGGTTGTCACCAAGGTCAACGGTATCGAGAAGGACCACCCCCTATTTGACCGTCTTGTCGCCATCGTCAAGAAGGTGCAGAGTAGCAGTTGAATAACCGCCGGTAAACTCTAGGGAGTTGCCACTGCGGCGGATCAAAAAGAGACAGGAGAGAAGGGACCACGAAGGCTTATGTATGGTGGGGAGGATCAACGATGCCTTGAGCAATGGCTCCATTTGGCAGAGTTTCGACAAAAAAACATGACATTGATTGGGATCAATGCCTTACCTAATGAGAGTATGATATGAATAATGAAATATACCCATTACCTATATACACACTTGTGTCTTGTTGTTCGAATTTGTCATAGTCTTGCTGTCACCTGCCATTGGTTTGAGCACCTACCATCTTGATGCATGTCAGTAAAATGACAACGCATCCACTCTACATTTCTCTCTGAGACATTGGGCTGACCTTGGCTGTAGCCTGGAGCGATATCTTTTCTTGCAAGTAGGTAGTACTACGCAGGTCTAATAAACACGACGTCCATGATCAGCAGTTAGTGTCAGCGTAGCCAGGATATACCCGGTTAATTTTGTAAAAACCTCGTATTCAAAAGCGGAAATTCTGCCACGAGGCTATGTACCGGTAGGCTGCTATCCTATCCAGGTATACGTACGCCTTATTACTGTCAAAAGTGCTGCCTAGGAGGCTTGGGCTTGGTATTGTGACACGTCGCATGTGTGTAGGTGGTAGTTCAAGTGCAGAGATTGCTGGGAGACACATCTCCATGATATTGCGACGGAGAATTTGTAATGTTTATGCTTTGTGTGGAGAGAGGAAAACTGGGTAAATTTGACATTGGCAATAGTTCATGTGCCTCGAACTCCTTACTAGTAACTAGTTTAATGGGCACGCAAACTCGATTATGAGAAATAAATTATGCATTTTTTTTCTTATTTCTCCTACTGCCATTGGTAACCCTACCAGCTAATGCAACAGAAACTACCGTACAAAGTCTAGTTATCGCGATCGGCGTCTCTTAATGTAAGATCGGGAAGGTTTCCACCCCAGACATGTTGGGAGAGCGCGGAGCTTCATAGTGCTTATGTCTGTTATGCTTTTAATTGGCTAGTATGGATGCCAAGAAAAATGATAGATGGGATATACGTAACCATGAGTGGAGGCTGTGTACATATGCACAGAAATGCGGACGATATTGCACGGGCCCCAAGTGTGCCGATGAGGGAACACCCAGTAGACACAATACACATCCGACGCCAATCTCGATTCGCATGATGGATATGTGGGATGCAGTCCATGTCGAAACGACCGGAAAGGCTTGGTCGCAAGGCTGAAACACAATGATAGCGGGCTCGGCCGGCGGGAGAATGGCGGGAGAATTGAGTTGGCTCGCTGCACTGGAACTAGACCTAAATAGGTGCGCCAAGCGCCGTATTCTTATTACAGCCCCTCTGGTGGAATCAAGCAATGCCCATTAGCATTTTTAGATATGTTGCACCAGCACACTACCTCAGGGGCGACTTAGTGGCGGTGCGACAGCCACAGGCGTCCTGGCAAGACTCCACTCAACATCTCACCACCGCAGCAGCATCAGCCTGATATGGTTTGTTATGCAGGATTCATGGCAGTGCTGCCAAGTACTTGGGCGCTACACCGATATGCACTTTTGAACATGGCTTGTCACAAGACCCGGCGCTAGCCCTCCCGACATGGAGACGTTTTAGACGATCAAATCTTCTCCGATGCACTCCCTTTCCCCTTTTCGCCCTGGACCCATGGACATCGGCCAGGTTCCAATCGTCCGTTGACGTCAGCTCACTGCACACCTGGTCTTCCCCAAGCAGTCTTGGCACTTCTGCAAAGCCAGCGCCAGCAAACCCATGCGGTTAGTTATATAAACCGCTTCAAACATAGGCACGCGACACTACCAGGCTGAGGATGACAGCAGCATTGTGGCGGCAAATCGGACTAACAAAGGAGATATGTGTGGCCTGACTGCAGCTGGTAGGCCATCGACTCGTCGTCCGCAACCAAGTCCCCGCCCATGCACGCGTGGAAAAAGGTGGAGCCTCTGATTCGCAATACGTCGCTTGCGTATTCCCAGACCAGGGAGTCAGGCCTCCTTTGCTCGGCACCCGGCGGACTTGCACGCGACCCGTTGGCGGTGGCACCGAGTAAAGTAAAGCATCCTGCTTGCTATTCTTGACATGTCCGCTTGATCTGGACTCTATGCTTCTTGTTTTTTCCCACTCTACTCCTTTCCCTTTGTTGAGTCAACAAACCTTCAACTTGACCGCTATCCGAGACACGACTGTTCCAGGGGGGATACTAGACTGTCGTATGCCCGCCGTTTTCTCGTTTGCGTCAGCCTTTTCCACCACAACTTTCATGACATAGCATTTCCGGCCGCATTATCTACAGTACCACCGTGCCAGACTCTGGTACCACCAACACAAAATGGCAAACTCTACACTACCAGACAATGGGCAATGGAACAGCAAGCCAGCCTGGAAACTGCCAGGATGGTGTGAACCAGTCGTACGTCCCCAAATCACACAGCAGAGTCTGCATGCAAAGTGCGGTGTACTAACATGACTATGCATCTAGATGGTCGCCAGCATTCTCTTCTTCGCCATGTTCATTACGCGGAAACGGAACTACAAAATATTTGCTGCACCCTCAAGTCGAAACGGCTACCTGGATGACGCGCCAAACGATTCGATGGATCGCCTTCTCCAACAGTCAGACAGCGACAGCGAATTCGACGACGTCTATGCGACCAAGAACCCAAATGCACCCAAGGTCCGAAGTATTGGTTGCTGGAAGGTTACTACGCCCAACACTTCGCGCTTCCGCAACAACATACACAGTCGCATACTGCAGCGCTTCCCGTTTTTGATCGAGATGTTTTATTGGGTCATCAACTATGCCTTCTACCGCATGACGGCAATTGCATCGGCTAAGCTTTTTGCTGGACGAGGCATCTGGGACGTTTCGCAAGAACACGGAATATCGGTTTTGGAGGCAGAGCAATTTGGCTTTCTGAGCTTTTTGTTCCCGCTCCGGGAGCGCGACGTGCAACAGTGGTTTATGCATGGACACCAAGATGCGCTTACTGTGCTGAACAAGTGTTATGCACTGATTCATATCCCCGGCACTGTGGGGTAAGGAACATGTTTGGAAGTTTAACTAGAGTATCACTGACATTTGACAGCTTCATCTGCTGGTATTACTACGTCGCCCCTTCATTCGATACCTTTGCTACCGCCCGCCGGACACTTACCCTCACCAACTTCTGCGCCTTCATGACCTTTGTCGTATTCCCATGCATGCCTCCGCGGTTGCTCCCTGCCGAATACGGCTTCCTTGATACCGTCCGCCACGACGATGCACAGAGTGTGTGGATGAGTGGCAAGTTTGTCAACCAGCTTGCTGCGATGCCTTCAATGCATTTTGGATATGCATTCTGCATCGGCATGACGCTCATCTACCATTCCGGCCTGTTCCGCCGCACCTTGGAGCCAGGCGAGGTTCGCAAGAACGCATTCTGGAAGATCTTTTACCTCGTTCTTGGCATTGGATACCCTTCATTCATCCTCACCGTTATTGTCGCTACCGCCAACCACTACTTTATGGATGCGCTCGTAGCCACATGCTTCGTGTTCTTTTCCTTCTTCTGCAACAAGGTCTTTTACGTCTTCATTCCCCTCGAGGACCTTTTGCTCTACGTTATTCGGGCAGACAAGCCAGTACCCACCACTGGCGACCGCTACCGTGACAACAGCGGTCGTTTATAGGCAGTGGAAATATTTGACAGCGTTTCGCAAGCCTTCATTTCGCTTCTACACCAGCTACATAGCGCTATTTGTCAGTACATATGTACGCAATCTTTTTTGCATTTTACGGAGCACGGAATCACGGCTGGAGTTTGAATGACAACCCCAAAATACCTACTTTTTCCATTATTAGATATACACAAGCCACCGGGGCAGAAACACATAGCTATTCGAGATGATAATAGTATATATGAACTGAGTTGTTTTCGCCAATGACTTGATCATGTGCTCGAATCGGACAAATTTGGACGGCTTCGTAGTCGTGCATGTAGACAGCGATATGGCTGTCGATAACGTCCCGCTGAGGGGTGATGAGTGGCGCGAACTGAGCTTGTTCCTGCGTTAGCGCGTAAGCAACGCGTTGGAGCTTCCCTGGAGCTCTCCCCGGCATTCCCAGTATCACGCTTAACCTCTCTCTATTAGCCAGCCACCTCGCAATCACACAGCCGCCCCGCACCCTGTGAGGTCGATTAGAGACGCTCTTTTGTTTCAATTACCGTAGCGCAATTTTGCTTTCACGGGAAATATTTTCTTAAAAAGTAAAAGAGCAGGACTGCAATCCATCTCTCACTTGGCTCTGCGCTGACATTCGGGAAGCTGATCTCACAGGCTAGTTTGCATCTGAGCTTTGTCGCGCACCTCCACTCGCTTTCCTTTTATCCATATCGCATGACATGTGATTTTGCCCTGCTAGAGCATCGTAGATACAGAGGACACATTTGCAATGGCGGATATTGAGCAACAAGCACCTGTCGAGGGCACGCCAGTCGAGGATGTAGAGATGGAAGGCGCAGCTAATGCTGGCGCTGGCGCTGGCGTGGACGAAGGTGCTGGTGAAGAGACGGCCTTGGCTGATATTGAGCCTGAAGCGCCCAAGCTAGTATTATTCTCAGAGTAAGTCATACTGGGGCAAGATGTGGGTGTTGCAGACTGGCATGTTGGACGAGGCGCTGGGCGTGAGAGCGGCTGAGACACAATGAGATGCGCGCCTGTGTTTCTCATGGTTTGCCTAGGGGAACGAAAAACAGACACATGGGCAAGCAAACAAGAGAAAAAAGGACATGCATCTAACACGCTCACCAGCCTGATCAAGAGTCCAATCGTAGAAGTCGTTGTTGGATCCGGAGAGACCCGCACCACATACTCAGCACACGAGGCTGTTCTTCTCAAGTCGCCCGAATTTGGCAAACATGTCGAAAAGTTTGCGGCAGGAGGAGTAAATAGCACTTAGACGTCCTTACTGCTTCGCACATTTTTGGCTGACATAACGTTAGCCACGCCAAATTGTCCTTTCAGACTGCGACATAGACGCCATGGGCTCGGTAATCGAGTACCTCTACACGGGCGAGTACTTCCCCAAGAAGACTTCTTCGGCACGCGACGCCTCGCTAGAAAAGGACCCACGCCAACCAGAAATCGACCATGAAGGCGTCGGCCTTCTCGTCCACGCCCGCATCTACACTCTCGCCGACCGCCTCCAACTCCCCGAGCTCAAATCCCTTGCACACTCCAAAATCCACCGTACCGCCTCGACGGCTAAAGGTGAACTCGCATACGCCCGCTACGTCTACAAAGAATCCGACCCAGAAGACACTACCATTCGCAAGCCGGTGGCGGCCTTTTGGGCTACCCGCAGCTTCAGCCTCCGCCGCGACGCCGAGCCAGAGTTCAAGGCAATGTGTCTGGAGTTTCCGCAGTTTTCGTACGATGTGCTGCAGTTGGTGCTTGATCAGCGGGAGAAGAAGAAGAGCGGCGAGGATACGCCTGGGCGGAGTAGTGGGCCGAGTGTTGTACCGGGGAGTACGAGGAAGAGGGCGAGGGTTTAGTCAGGTGTAGGAGTGTACGAGTTTGATGGTGGGGGGGGGGGGGAGGAACTGGGGAAATAATGATGATTGATATTTATTTCATTGCTGGGGATGCTTTGTTTGTGCATATCTCTCTCGGCATCTTTTGGTTTTTTTAAGAAGAAGAAGAATTCATGTTGCCATTTTTTTAGGGCTGAAAAGTATGTCTGATGTACGTACGTACGTATGGGGGAGGAGATGGAGTAGAGGGTATGTTGGATACTGCAGTTTTAGCCGTACATGTCTTATGCCAATACTTTCCTTCTTCTTCTTCTTCTTCTTCTTCTTCTTGCTGACGTCATCCATATCCATCGTTTTGTTCTTATACACACACAAGAGTAAGTGCCGTGCCGTGTCAAAGAGAGAGAGAAAAATTATTCGGTAGTTTGTTTCGGCACGTTTATCTCTCTCTCTCTCACAACCCTCGGTCTAGCATGTGAAGATATGCTTGTTGACATTTTTTTTTAAAAAAATCCTTGGAGCGAAAATCAACGTGTAACATATGGCACAGTAGTAGCCAAGAAATGAAATAGCGGGATTTGATTGTTATTATTTTTTTTGGCTTGAATTCGTGTATATATGTATGTATGCATGTGTGTGTGTGTGTGTGTGGGGAAAAAGGCAAAAGAACGATGCATGCTGCAGAGCAAGAGAGGGAGAGAACCAGTGGGGACGGGTATCGAAGTTGGGCTTGGATTTTTTTTTCTGATCGTATATGTATGTATCATGTATGAAGGTGGATATTAATGTATGCAAGTTTGCTGGTAAGCTTGGCTGTAGCGTGGGTACTATTCTACATTCATCACTTTGCATATTGGAGTAACGACGAGACAAAATGAAAAAGAAAAGGGAAGGGGAGGATAAGGTGTGTGCGTGTTTTTTCTCTCTTGTATGAGTCAGGAAGAAGGGAAATTGAAGGAGGTAAACAAGGTTTCTTATTGAGGTGACTGCATCATCGGCTTGTGATAATGGGTCGAGAGGACAAGGAACAGGCATTGAGTAGGGTACAGACCAGTCGGGGCCATATTACCATTGTAGGCATAGAATGGAGCAACTACTTCGGAGTTATTGCGACAAGATGAGTACGTAAGTAATTTCTTAGCTCATAGATGTATGTATGTCGGTAAGCAACAAAGCAACAGTGACACATATATTCATCCGTATACGAGCGCCCGGTCGCCCCAGTCACGCCGTCGGTCGCAAGGGCGGTCAACAAGTTTGTATTTTTTGTGCTAGAGGACTCTCGTGAGACTTTTGAGTGTTTGCAGTGAGGATCTTGGGGCAGGATTACTGCATGGAATCTTGCTTTGGAGCCAGGCCAGTCATGTACGGTGACGTTGTTTTGCGGGAAACTGGGGGGATGCAGGGACGGGGGGGGCTGGTTAGGGCGTGTGTATGTATTGCAGATGAGATAGATGGCGCAATGTAGGGCGCTGGAGAGTGTTCTTGTTGGGCCGCCAGTGAGTGATTGCAGGTTGCATTGGTTCGTTGGGTTTTACTTGGGTCGTGGCTGGGACTGAGTGCCTGTTGGATGGGAGATGGTAGAAAGGGAAGAGGTGGGTGAGCAGTGTGCTGGCTAGTTAGTAGGTGGGATGAGTTTGGTTGGTTGGTTGATAGCGAATGCCGGCCTTTGTGTAGTGGACATGCACGCTCCGCTGTACCGTACGTTGGGTTTGCCGGCGAGATTACTACTGTGGTGCTACTGTAGCAAAAGGGCAATCTGACGGGCCCCAAGGCATATTCAACGGTCCAACGGGACTATAATGGACATGGCTAGGATCCGTTCAATACGACACCCGTGACCAGTGACCCGTAGCCCGGGACAAAGGCCG